TTGCTGTTGAGCGATAGGTATATTTAAAAGAATGTTGATATGAGACCCAAAAATCAATTTGTTATTATTGTATCGATGATTCAACAAATCCCAACAAACTTGATAATTGTCCGAACTGATATGCAGATGCTGTACCATTTTTTCCGGTTCTCCTCTAATGTGCTTTAACTTTTCAAAAACTGCATTTTTTGGGCATTTGACAAGGTTCGATTGGTATGAACTGCTTCGCAAAACAAATCCTTAAATGATACCCACTGATGATAATTGCCAGTGAACGTAGGTATGTCCATCTGGGATGTGGACTTTTCTCGGTGACTTTCAGACCACATCTTTGTATTGATATCTTTCTTGACTTGGCTAAATTTTTGTTCATAGAAGCTGAAGGTTTCTTCATACGCTTCATTGGAACCATCCAATTCGCTATCCAGCTCCCAGTGTAAGGCATCGATAGCTGCCCAACGAGACTGGAGAGTACGTAACAAGTCTTCGAATTCCCATTTCTCTAATACTAATTCCAGGTTGATATTTGATAGTGTTCGTTGAAATGCTTTAAAATTGCTATTCTGTTTTTTCAACATCTCTTCTGTTTTGCTCGATGTTGATCCTGTACTCATTTGCGGCTTGATTGGATTTGTTTTAGAGACAATTGTAGGGGGCTTTAACAGTGTTGTTTCAGGTCTATCCTCTGTCAAAGGCTGATAGTTTTGGATATGCGCTCTAATGTTGTCAAATCTCTCCTTCAATCTTTCACGTTCTTGATCTATTCTTTCTCTGCTTGGTACGTCCATATCCAGTTGCGATAAATGCTGATAATTCTTCTCATACTCAAACCAATAGTCGTCTAGAGCATTTAATCTGCGTTTGATATAGTCTGGAGTGTTCCTATCAGACCCGTCCTTCTTGAAATTAGTATACAAATTTTCAATTGCTGTTGATAGCTGCTGCTGCATAGTGAGGACATAGTTTTCTTATATTTACGCGAACACTACACGTTGAAATAATACTAGTTTTTACGGAATTTATCGCGTATATTTAACTTAACTTTTTTAATACCCGACGTTTCGAACGCTTTACAGCACTCATGGTCAGGGGCGGGACTCCCGCCCGTGACCAAATATACGCGATAAATTCCGTAAAAACTAGTATTATTTCAACGAGGACATCGTTGACAGACATCATGATATAGAGATAAGTAAAATGGAAAGATCTTACTTGATGTGATGCTGGTTGCTGATTGTGCAGAGGTGGTTGACGCGTTCGTGCTGTAGTGGTGGTAAGTACCCAACGAAGACTTAGATTCTCCTGATGCGCTCCAAGCTGCTACTGCTGGGCGGCGCCCCAAGACTCGCAACGCCCACAAATGCTGCTTGATCCTTGATGCTTTGCGATGGCCGGAGCTTATTGATAATGAAATGATGCTGCACACTTATTTGTACAGACTGAAAAGCTATTGCACACGTCACTTAGTGCACTATGTCGCAATAGGTCACTGAGCGGAAACACTTTTTCCAGTCGTTAAAACCCGAATTTCAGGTCCCGCTACGGAGCTCGAAGGACCATAAAGATGTACGGAACACCTTTAAATGATAGTTGATAGGAAAAATGATTTTATTTAAAATAAATAATGATATTATATAATGATATAGAACGCGTCTATCGTGTTCTGAACGACAACGTCAACTATCCATTGCTCAAAACTAAAGTGAATGACGCAAATTATGTTGACCTAAATAAATCGCTTACACACTAAAATGTACGGTTGCACTGTACATGCTCCCGGGCGAGAGATGAGAGTGATAAGATAGATAGGAAACAACAAAAACGATATAAGATAAAATGATAATGATATAAGATAATGACTAAGTTAAGAAACTATCATAGTATGTCACTAATAAATAAAATAAAAATAAGTAGTTGAAGGTTCATGTCCAGATCTATTTTACTTGTATGTCCTTCAAGCACACTCTCGCAAATACGGGTGAGGTGCCTTTGTTTTGTACTCGCGCACTTTGCACTGATATGTTTTGATTGGCACTGACACTATCACTTGTACACGCACGAGGAATGTCTTGAAGAGATAACCGTGGTGCCGGCTCCGGGCGGGCTGCAGGCGCTAGGACGTCGGCGCGCTTGTCTCACTCGCTTCCAAAGTACCACTACGCCCGCTGCCCCGAGTGCTCCCACTAACACGTAGATAACGACGTAGTGGTGTAAGTCGTGGGTTGACAGCTGATTCACTTCAACATCTATGTTTCCTTTTATCCTATCCAATATATGGCAAAGCGTTAACCATATATTTCGTACCATTGTCACACATCATAGGTATTTTGATCCTGTACTTGTTGGGTTTATTCGGAATGTATATTCGAAAGGGACACCTGCCTCGAAATCCAACCAACTGTTCATCAACTGTAAGGTAGTTTCCCGGTGTGTAGTTAGACTTGCACTGCTGTATAAACATCTCCCATATATTCCTGGCTGGAATAAAGGGATCTTCTTGACGTTGGGCAGGACGTAAAGTCTTGTCATCCATTCTCAAACAACGCTTGAGAAAGTTGAAACGCTCCCTGCTCATAACTGCTAAATACCTAGACCCTGAAAAGATGCTATCAAATAGCTCAGTTGCATTCAGGTGATTATCTTTCATTGCAGCAGTTAGCCTCAAAATACCAAAATAGGCTCTAACTTCTATGGAACCTGTATCTCTGCAGGTAGCGTGGGTATTTCCAATAGGTCTTTTTCTAGATATTTCCACATTTGTCCACTTCACTATCTCACCAACAATGTCTTCCGTGATGAATAAATCAAAACACAAACTAGGCTCAAAGATATTTCTACACATCCTAGCTGGGCCTCTAGAAGTGTGCACAATGTTTCTAGCAGTGGTTCTACCTCGACTTTTACCTTTAGAAGTAGACCAACAGTGCTGGTTTTTGCCCTTCAATGTTCGACGCGCCGGGACAAGGATACGGTGATCAGAACTGAATGGCTCCAAAGTCTCACTATTTTCTGGGACAAAAGATGTAAGACCTACCTAACCTACACATTTTGTTTTTACCGATTTAAAAGAAATGGGTTAACAAAATTTTTTAATATAAATTAGGTAACAGTGTATACAAAGAATATGAATATAAACGGTAAGATCTACCTAACCTACACATTTTGTTTATAACCGATTTTTAAAAAAATAGGCTAACAACATTTTTTTTTAATAAATTAGGTAATAGTGAATACAAAGAATATGAATACAAAAGGTAAGACCTACCTAACAATCATATAAAAAAAAACATAAACACTCACGCCTGTCACCCAGAGGTGTAGGCAGAGACTACAGACTTCCATTTAGCACGATCCTGACATACCTTTCTCGCCTCTTCCACATCCATATACCTACGCATACATGCTTGTCGGTTAAGGGTACTCTTAATTTGGCCCATTTTTAGTATATCGCCAATTTGGTCGACAAACTTCCGCCTAGGACGTCCCTTTCCGACTCTTCCATTCACTTCTGCAACATATATTTGCTTTGTCAGTCTTTCCGCATTCATTCTTTCTACATGACCAAACCACCGAAGCATTCCTTTCTTAATCCTGGTCACCGCATCATCTTGCAAACCACACTCTTCTTTTATCACACAGTTTCTCACCCTGTCACTCAGATTCAGCCCTAACATACTCCTTAGCGACCGCATTTCTACTGCATTTATTCTACTCTCGTGCTTCTTCTGCCACACCCAACTTTCACTACCATACGTTAAAGTAGGGAAAGTAGGGATACAGCACTGTGAATTGCCATACGTGCCTTTTTTGACACATTCTGACTTTTCACAATGGATTGTAGAGCCCCATTTACTTTATTTCCTGCATTCACTCGTCGTTCAATATCCTTATCATATCTCCCATCCCTGCTGAATACACATCCCAAATATACGAACTCATCCACTTGCTCAATTAAGTCTCCTTCTATTCTTATTTCACATACCGTTTTGCTTTCATCTAACAATCACATTTCAAAAAATGGGTTAGCAACAATTTTATTCACATAAATTAGGTAATAGTAATACAAAATAGTAAATACAAAGAATATGAATACAAAAGGCAAGGAACCTACCTATTTAATCCACATCCACCATCCACAGAACACACTATTAGATAGCAAAGTGACTTAAGTCAGTGAGGTGTGTACCTACAAACCTAGCCATACGTAAAAATATATTACTTAGGATCAGCTGCCTGACAATAAGTTATCAGGTAGCCACTAGGTTGGTTGGAGCAGCTGCAAAGGTGCCGAAACAAGCAATTTGTTAAGATTTTACCATTCTAAAGAATTGTATTGAGTAAAACAGTTACTTATACAAAGCGCCACGTTGCAGGTGACACACAGAACCTGCGTACGCTTGTGGCAGACGCTACAATGGCTGCGTTTTCTTTGTTTCAGTTTCTCATTGAAGGGAAATTCTTTCGGGAAATGGCGAAGGATTTCCGTCGAGAATTTCACCTTCAAAGATTGTGTCGGCTCCAACGTGATGACTCGCTGTTGGTCATGTTTTTCAAGGATTTCCTTGATAAGGGTTTTGCGGAATTAGCGGTGCGTGGCCACGCGAGGATGTGGATGTTTTGGTGCTGGGCTGTCTCTATGTAAAATGTACCCATTGAGCACGCTGACGATAAGTAGGTGGCGGAAAAACTTTTTGTACCACACCAAGGGTTGCTTCCTTTCGACGGGATACGCAGACAACAATTGGTCCTTTTTGTCTACACCGCCCATGCGGACGTTATAGTCGTACACCAATGTTGGTTTTGACTTCCCAAGTCTGGAAGCTAAACCCGCGCCGTGGTACGTCGATGTCAAGGTGACAACGTTTCGGTATTTCCAAACCAGAATATTAACATCCCCACTCATGGCGCCGTGCACGCTGCCAACAGCAAGAGGCTGTTTTATAAGCGCCTTTAAATTTGAGGGCACATTTTGCGTATTTAGTCTAAGTGTTCCCACACAATCAAAACCTTGGCTTTTCAAAAGCCTGGAGAGAAGAGGACTATTATAGTAATTGTCCATAAAAACAGTATGCACCTTGTTCTCGAGCCCCTTAAGTAGCTCGAGAACAAGGGGTGTAATATACCCCAACTCATTCGCATCCTCCTCATTGCGACCGGCATGCATCTTAAATCGCTACAGATACCCCGAATTTGAGTCGCACACCTCGTAAGTTTTTATGCCCTTCGATGCTGTTTGGTTTTTGATAAACCTATTGATGCTTAGCCACCCCTTCCACTGACAAGTCAAAGACTCGTCCAATGCGATGCATTGCCCCAATTGATAAAACGTTTGAAATTTCTCATTCAAATGATTCACAATTGGGGCAATCTTCGTGATTTTCGCGCCGCTTTTGGAGAGGTGGCTAATATCAATCTCATTATTCACAAAGTGCAGCATCTGGGAAAGGGCGACAAATCTGGTGTACGTCATGTAAAGACCAAAATTCGGAGTATCGGTTACTTCGCCTTTGACGGTCCAGTATTCCGTGAGATCTGATTTAAAGGCAATGCCGGTCGCAAGGATCAAAGCAAAAAAGGCGTACAGCTCGTCGGCATCTGTGTCTTTAAACATGCGCAGCCGGCTGTGAGGACCCACACTGCCCTTACTTAGTGCGGCTTCCAGCGATTGCTTCGTGTACCGATTTGTTTCCGCAGCTATATCCTCCATTATGCTGCGGTCCCAAATTGATATGAAGGCTTCGTAAGGTGAAACGAAATGTGAAACCGGCCCTACCGACCCTGTGAATTTCTCCCTACGCTGCTGGGGGGGAATTACCGGTATGGGCAATGACTCCCAATCAAATTCCGCGAGCGAGTGTGGGCCCTGGGCTGCCGATGCAGCACTTACGGATGTGGCTGGCGTGGATGTGGATGGCGCGGGTGTGTATGGTGCGGGTGTGGATGGCGCGGATGTGAATGGCGCGGGTGTGGATGGCGCGGGTGTGGATGGCGGCGGGCTAATTAATTCTGCCGATGATGACGGCTCGGTAGGCAGGTCCATCGGAGCATCGAAATCCATCAACGAACCTAAATAGATTCGTTCGTTTCGAAGACACTGCATATATCCGAAGACGTCGTCATCTTCGTCCACGTCCTCGTCATCATCTGGATCACTTCCTAAAGACAATAAGTTTAATTAATATATTTTCTTCATATTTGCTTCCTTTCGACTAACATTAAAAGTCAGTGACTTACCGTAGTTTACAAGATCCGCCAGCTCCGAATCGTCCACATTGTAGACCAGTTTCCGTTTACGACTACCAGACCTAAAACAAAACAGACACGTTAATACAGAGCTTGACAGTAGTAATATGGAAATTGATGGCTATTTACTTGTACGGACGAAGAGGGGTTTACAGATACACCCTTCGGGGTATCTGACGTGTTCGGAATCTCCATGAACCTAAAAGTGAAGTGAAGTGCAAGAATGCTGAACTTGCGATCGATCTGTAAAAAGTTGACATGTAATACAGAGCTTGACAGTTGCAATATGGAAATTGATGGCTATTTCACTTACAGAGACGAAGAGGGCCTAGGACTTACACCATGCGGGGTATCCGGCCTACTCGGAATCTCCATGATTCTCAAACGAAATTTGCACAATTGTTACTGAAAAGCTCTGTAGCAGCAGCAAGATACAAATATTTGTGCCTATTTAACATAGTCAACTGGCGAGGGCACCTGCGACGCAGACGCCGAGAGTCCAGTTGTCCGCAAGTGTGCAGAGGTCGCGGTCGATCTGTGAAAAGTTGATATGTAATACACAGCTTAACAGCAGCAAAAAAAACTTACTCAGACAACGACGGCGCAGGCTGGTTGGGAACCCAATGCCGTGGCACTTTTTGGTGCATGAGTTTCTTTAGTGGGCTCCCAACACGTACCGTCGTTGAGTCTGGTACCGTCGTAATGATGTCCCCGACATATAACGGCGATCTATTAAAACAGTATATTACAAAATCAGCCGCAGCTGCATAAACATAAATATGTACTTAGTAAAACCAAACACACACCTTTCAATTTCATGCACTCGTCCTCGACCACCTCTTGTTCGTGGTCCACGTCCCCTCCCCCCCGATGTTGACCACGTCCAACCCCTCTATTCACACCGCGTCCACCCCCACGTCTACCTCCTCGACCAACCACCGATTTAACACCTCTTGTTCTTAAGCCATGCAAAGCAAAGAAATAACAGGAGCTTAAATAAATAAAAAAAAGTTTTACCAACCCACGACACAAAAAAAAACCTCAAGAAAGTCAAAAAATGAAATGTCTCTCTCGGTCGGGAGACCACGAAAGAGAAGTACTAAAAAGATATTTACACATTGGGGGTCAGGGTTTTTTTAATTTATATATTTTATTTTTATTTCATTATATTAAAATTACACCCAAATTTAAAAAAGCCGCTTTGAAATCGCTTGATACATTTAGGTACTACGAATATAAGTACAGACAGACAGAGACATTTTCTTGCCGCCATTTTGTTTTTGTTATTGCTCCTAAATTTGCCCAGGGTGTACATTATTTTAGTAAAAGCACCACCTCTGTATCTTTTACAGTTTCGGCGGGCAGTTGACCATCTCCATAAATGGCCGGATGGATTTTCATCGACGTGGCTAAGAACCGGTGCAGTCGTTTACACGGAACGGAACACACACACACACACACACACACGCGTCAAACTTATAACACCCCTCTTTTTGCGGTTAAAAACAATAAAAAGAAATTCAAATTTATAAACATTATTTTACGGTAGCGCAGTCTTATCCATACTATGTTACTAAATAAAAATCCGCCATTTTGGAGTATAATATGACTGGCTAGTCCCTGCAGTACATTTGCCGTAAAATATTCGAATTAAAATGAATTTAAGGAATTCTGGACATAACTACTGTTTGTTATTGTAATTGAATAATTACATTAACAAAAAAGTGAATACTCAAAACAGCAAAAACATTTCCAACAAATCAAGAATTATTATGTAAAATATAAATAAATATGTAGGCGTACCGGCGAATTGATGGTGGTAATCAAAGAAAATATTTGTTTACCCTGAATTACAGCCACGAATATGAATAACTTTGAGTTAAAACGAAAAAGCACTTACCTTGGCATGATGTTAACGTAATTTAATAAGACACAATATCCACAATAAAATAATTCGAAATCACTTCACGCACACCATGAAACTACGTCCTCGAAAAGATTAGACAAACATATTTTTTTTCTTAAAGGAAGTAGAAATAGAAATAGAAACTTTTTTATTCAATGTAGATTATAAAAATACTTATTGAAAGTCACTTTTTTAATTTACCACTGGTTCGCAAAAAAAACCTCTCTCCTGGCAAGAACCAGCAAGAAACCCAGCGGGACTATTTTTTTTAATAATAGCTTACAATCATGTTTACAATCAACAACACAGGACAAATTAGAAATAGCTTGGTAGCGATCACCCTTCCCAGGGGTTATTATCATCTATAAATTCCTTAATATTATAATAACCCTTTTTATACAAACTTAGTTTAAACAAAACATTTTTGAACTTTGTGTATGACAAATTTTGTATATTTTCTGGGATTTCGTTGTAAAAGCGTATACATCGCCCCAAGAATGAATTACTGACTCGGTGGAGTCGAGTAACTGTACTACCAGCTTGTGTCTGCTCCCAGTATTTACAGAATGAATATCACTTATTTTCGCAAAACTACTTTTATTTTTGTGTACGTACATTACATTTTCATAAATGTATTGAGAGGCCAGAGTTAATATATTAATTTCCTTAAATTTTGGTCTCAGTGACTCTTTTGGTTTTAAATTATATATTGCTCTAATGGCCCTCTTCTGTAAAATAAATATAATTTCAGTGTCAGTCGCGTGTCCCCATAGCAAAATACCATACAACATAATGCTATGGAAATAACTAAAGTAAACTATTCTAGCTGTTTCAACACTGGTAAGAGTTCTAATCTTTTTTACAGCATATGCTGCAGAACTAAGTCTGCTAGCTAGTTTTGATATATGGGGGAAACATTGAAGCTTTGCATCCAGTGTGATTCCAAGAAAAATGGTGGTATCAACAAGACTCAGTTCCTCCCCATTTAAAATTACATTAGTATTGACATGTTTAACATTAGGAGTTACGAATTTCATACATTTAGTTTTAGTTTCATTCAAATGCAAATTATTAACATTAAACCAATTGACTAACTTAGCTATAGCATTATTTACTTCGTCGTAATTTAATAACCGTCGTTTTAATTTGAAAATTAATGAAGTATTATCAGCAAATAATACTATATCATGGTTATTCCCTACTATGTAAGGTAAGTCATTAATATATACAAGAAACAGAAAGGGGCCGAGAATTGAGCCCTGAGGCACGCCCATTTGTACAATCGACCCGGAAGAACTCATACTATTAATAACAACTTTTTGTGTTCTGTCACTTAAATATGAAATAATTAATTTAAGAGCATCATTTCTTACACCGTAGTGTTGAAGTTTCCTGATTAATGTTTCATGGTGAACACAATCGAAGGCTTTGGATAGGTCACAGAACACACCCAAAGCATCCTGTGAATTCTCCCATGCATTAAATATATATTTAATCAGCTCAACACCAGCATCAGTTGTCGAGCGACCCCTTGTGAAACCAAATTGATTTTTATGAAGTAATTTATTTACATTAAAAAAAATTAACAATTGATCAAGAATAATTTTTTCAAAAATTTTACTAAGTGTTGGCAGTACAGAAATAGGTTTAAAATTAGCGGGGTCCAATGTACTACCAGATTTAAATTAAGGTATTACTTTACTATGCTTCATTAAATCAGGAAACACACCAGATTTGATACTACTATTAAAAATAATAGATAGTTGAGGTGCGATTGTATCTATTATATACGCAATAACTTTAACAGAAATCCCCCACAGATCGGCGGTTCTCTTAATATCAATAGTCTTAAAATATTTTACAATATCTTTTGATGAAACTTTATGAAATGTTAAATTCTTTGTACACACATTTACATTTTGTTTAAGTAATGATTCGGCGACGGTAGGAGAAGAATTCAGTGACTTAGTGGTTAAGATCGGAATATCAGTAAAATATTTCTCAAAAACCATTGCAACGTCCTGATCTGATTTAGTTAATTTATTGTTAAAACTTAACTGGTAGTTTGAATTGCGAGAGTTGATCTTAGTCGTAGAAGTCTGTTCTCACTGATTTAAATGAATAAGCACAGACTATAGAGCCATACTGCCCGACTCACACGATCCAAAACATCATTGGTTTAAGAAAACAGACTTGAAATCGGAGCTTGCGACACGGTCATAATATGATGCGGGGGTAGTTGTTGTCTACAATATCTTCCCATTTTGTTAGTTTTCCCTCAAAAATTAAATTCTTATTTAACATGTTGTTGCGTAGGCCTTTTTTTAAGTGTGGAGGATCATAGATCACACTTAAGTTACTTCCTCCAATTAAGATACTACCATCTATAAAATAAATATATTATTTGTTATACATTACAATGATGCGATATTATTATTAGAGGGTTTATAATTTTTGTGAAAGAAAAGTAAAGTGCTAAAGTCAAAGACTTTAAAGGATTTGTGCATCTTAGCTTATACTGGCTTAAATGTTTTCAGAACCTTTTGGTCTTGAAAACCAAAATATTCAATGCTCAAAGTCTAATTTAACCCACTACAAACTAGGAATCGACATAATACTAAGTACATAATATATCGCCGTCCCCGGCGAATAAAATGGTTATCGTAAAAACTAAACTTTACAGAAAAAATTAAAACAGTTTTTTGTGAATATCTTATAAACTAATATATATAGGGGAATAGTTCAAATATTTAAAGAAAGGTGGTTTCTTACAAAATAATTGTAAACTATATCAAATAATTTATCTTTCTTAGAAATGCAGTAATTAATAAAATTAAATTTACCATGAATTAAAAGCACAAACTTTAAATTACGATATTATTCGCGTAAAATCTCATGTAATATGTTACCGTAACAATGCATTGCTGTGTTATTGGTCGATAAATTGTGATAGGATCCCATATCGTAATGCACTATTACCATTTTATTCGCTGACAAGCAATCAATTACAGATTACAGTAATGGCAACTTATGTGTGTATTCCATGCAAAATTTATTAAACTAACTGAAGGCAAGTATCACATACTGAACAAATATTTCGTACGTGTGCAAGGTAATGTGCGAAGAAAAAAAAGCAACAGACTGTTAATTTTAATTTTTTTATAATTATTAACAACGGTTTGGTCACGTAGAAAGAATGAATGAGGAAAGAGTGACAAAGCAAATTTATATGGCAGATGTGCATGGCCGAGTCGGGAAGGGACGCCCTAGGAAAAAGTTTATCGACCAAATTGGCGATATTTTGAAAATGGGCCACGTTAGAAGTACCCTTAACCGACGAGCATGTATGCGTAGATATATGGATGTAAAGAAGGCGAAAGAGGTATGTCAGGATCGTGCCAAATGGAAGTCCGTAGTCTCTGCCTACCCCTCTGGGTGACAGGCGTGAGTGCTTATTATTATTATTATTATTAACAACTGCTTATAAAAATCATGAAATTAGAAACTTTTTAATTCGGTACTGTCTACAAAGTACTTTAATTCTTATTTTATAAGAGGCAGTTACCCTAGATAGATCTACTTTTTGTCGTCTACATGTTCAGAGAGTTCAGAGTCTGAATGTTCACTCGGGTTACCTTAGCAGCTCGTGAGAGAGTCATAAAATGCATGGTAGTGCTGTGAGATGGCATCACTAGTACACAAACTTAATAAATATGCATGCAGCGTTTTACTTATAGCTGTTTGCTGATCATAAGCTTGTTTCAAATGCGAATCGATTGATTCAGCTTCTGCTGCAATGGAGGCTGTCGCTTTTCGCCCTCGCCTGGGTCTAGTTATTAGTAACTCCGTTCCAAATACTCTTCTTTGAAATTATACTTGAATTGTAGAATATGCGGTTTAAAACGTGATACCTTCACTTCCATTATTTTTGCCTATTTAATTTTGTTTCCTTTAGTGTTTTTTGGCCAGTTTTTTTTTCCAGAAATAAGGCTCCTTAGGTTGTAAAAGTCACGCTGCTTCATCTCATGGACCTTATATTTATTTCCAGTCACTTTTGCATTCATGATGATGCTGTAAACTTGGTCAGGAGTATATAATACTTTATATTTCATGGCCCATACACATGAATGCATGCTATCGCCTACTTTCTGGCCGTATATTAGAAAATATAGTTTATTCTGTCTATAGACAGACCTGTAAATAATTAGAATAGACGTTATTTCAGCAGCTGATTTGTTTTCTATAATACTAGAACTGAATGAACGGTTGATAATAAATTCTTTGCGAAATAAAATTTAAAATTTTATATTATATAGTTTTACAGATTGAATATTTTCCAGTACTAATTGAATATTTAGGCCTCGCGAATGAACCAATATACCCGATGTTGAAACACGGAGCGAATCCCGTTCTGTAGTTGCGTCGATCTTGGTTTTATATGAGCAATAAAGCTTGCGTCCAATGCCTAGGTATTAATTGATACATTTATTTATTGTATGGAATTGTATTAATATGATACATACATAGAGCGGACGTTACGGGTAGGCCTGGGTATAGAGTTTTTATCGATATGTTTTATTACACTGTCTTAATTATTAATTTAGTGGACGTTCATTTCTGCTGTCAGAACCGAAATGGCGAAAATCAAATCGCCTCATTATGTCACGGTATATAGCCAGTCCATATATACAGGTCAGTGAGCTATATGGATGTAAAGGAGGCGAGGGAGGTGTAGTCTCTGGCTACCCTTCTGGGTGACAAGTGAGAGTTTTTATTTTTACGTTATGTGATGTTATGAATATATTATTATCCCCGTTACCATTTCAAGTAATCACGTTATAGTGATGGTGTAAGTACAAAAACAGTTGTTCCATAGTGTAGTATAATATGTCGGGCTGTTTTAAAAAAAAACACAGACAAAATAATTTCATAAAGTTAATCGGTACACAACTTGTACAGACTATAAACTAATACACTACGTGACAGGTTACCAAACGAAGTATTACTCTGAAATTGGCAAACGTCAAATTGGCATTACATTAACTAGAATAACATTGTAGTTCGAGAGAATTTTACTACTTTTATCATTGATTCATGGTAACATTTCTTCTGTCTGTTCTAAATTGGTGCAGTTGTCACTTTTGTTACGCTTTATTACATCGCATGAAAGTAAGATTGCATCTACAGTTCATGTTACTAGTCTGTTCCGAGTCCTTGAATTGGTAAGATTGATCTTGCTAAATATTCGTTCACAATCTGCGTTTGCATGCGGAAACATGAGACAATCCAATACGAATTGGGCAATATCGCTGAATGGCTTGTTTTCTTTCAGATCACTCCGTTTACTTAGTTTAGCCCAAAATACATTTACTTTCTTTTCAGTTTTATTTGTTTTGGTATATTTGCATGGGGTAATTTGCGCCATTGATCATCCAGAATTTGTAAAGTATTTACGTCATATACGCTGATGACCCTGGGAAATGCTAATGCAATACGTAGGATTGGAGGATTATCCTTAACCCAGGATATTTTCATCAGTGGTGCATTGTCGAAATCCCATTTTTTCTTTATTTGTAAAGCAGATAGATTTTTTAAATGTTACCGTTCTTAATTTGCTTATTTTACGAACCAATTTTCCCTCGAAGTTTTTATCTGCAATTATGTCCCTTTTATAAAAGTCGGTATATTTAATATAGAGTTTCGGTGACTTCCCAGCCAAGGTGAAAACTGTACTCTACTGGGAAGGTGCCCAAATTACAACGCCAATTATAATTATACTCTCGGGTGAGCCTCACACCTAGAGAGCGCGTTCCCAGGCGGCTGATAGGGGAACACTCAGCGTCAGGGGTAGGAAGGAAATAAAATACCTCCCACGGACCAACAGGCCGGAGAAGGAAACTCCGTTATCAATGCTACGAGCTGCTTCAACATATTTGTAGTTAAGACCGTGAGCAATGCTGTTTACTTGGGCTGGAGCACTACAGAAGAGACGGCGGCGGATGAGCTCATGACGAATCAACGGCGGCGCCCTCACCCTAGAAGGTGGTGACAGCCTTTGCGTCAGTTAGCAACCGGCTGTAAAAATACACTGCCAAAACAAAAAAAATCTCCTAATATGAAAGCAAAGCATAAAAGAAAAAATATAAGGGCTATGTTGTACCCCTCAAGCGACGACCAGATACGATCGCAAGCGAAAAATGCTAAGGCGTAAGCGTTTAAGCGACGAAACAAGACGCAGCGCAAATAATTTGCGTACAGCTATATGGAACATCGGTTCCTGTTAGCGACGATACGTAATTTTAATTACTTATTTAATTTTGTTTTTTATTGTGATTTAAAACTACGTTAAGATAGATTTAGTCAATAAGATGTTAAAGTGTACTCTGCATAGTTTTTAGGATTAGCAAGGGTGATGTTGTTGTCATGAGTTCGTGTTGTGCATTCCTGCCGCCTGGCGGCGCTACGTGCGCTAACGCCGCATAAGCTTAAGTACTAGGAAACTTTACCGTAACGAAGACCGTTTCAGTATTTTCATTATTTTAAGGTATAAATTAAGGTTTTAAGACTGTTTAGTGTGTAATATGATAAATATAAGTTCGTTCTAGTATTAGAAATGTATAAAAACTTTGTAAAGGGATGTTTTACCACAGAAAACAGCATTTGTAAGTTTTCCATAGAAAAAGTCGCCTGCGCTCTAATTGGTCGACGGAAATCGATTAGTGCCGTGCGAAAAATTTAAGAGTTGTGATTGGTCAGAGGCGCCTATAAAAAAGGGGCGTTTTCTTTGGTCAGACATTCCGAATCCAGCAAGTGTAAGAAGAACGTCAAGAAAATAAATAGAAGAAACTCTGAAGAAGTGTTATTATTGCTCATCCTACTGCTTCCGCACACTCTCCAGTCGACATCCCACCAGCGAACCCGCTCCACTATCAACACACACACGAGCGTCAACATTGGTCCTTCGAAAGCCGGATAGGGTTCAAGAAAACTGGGAAGATGCCTACAAATACGAGATCAAAATCAGTGCAGTCGAAGACTACGAGTGAAAGTAACGCTACTACGGGTACCAGCACGACGGATTGGAGTATGAATACGCCGAGTGAATCTACGAGCGCGACGTCTACGAACTGTTATACGGAGACGGGCTGATAGGTTTTTAAAAAAGATTTATTTAAAACACTGAAATTTAATTAAGTATAAATGGATTAAATATTATAAACTGGTTAGAAATCAACTTAGGTCCGTAGACAACCGAGCAGGTTCGAAGATGGAAGTAGACTGAAGTGACCGAACTGCTCCACTGCTATACTCACTGAACTTTAAGCCAAGTCAACATTATTAATTGACAGTGCAGCATTAAGGCTAACAAATACAGGGTATAACATCTCCCCCCTTAAGAAGAGATTTTAGGGATGATAACATAAAATCTCTAGATACTAACTTAATGACATTAAATTTGGGTTCTAAGCGGTGCAACATTATCGGATTCAGAATTACCACTTTGTTCAATTTCAGGTTGTATAAATTTTAAATGAGGTCGAGGTGAAGTTTTAATGAATTTCACTTTAGGAGTGATTTTACTATTTTTATTTGTAAGACGAGTGTTACGGAATCGACGGAAAAGCTTAAAACCCAAATATACTAAATACAACAGGATTAAGATAGAAATGATAATAATTTTTAATATTGTACCAATACCTCCAAACCAGGCGCTACGCTTGGCTCTGTTATCTAATAAGTGTGAGATGGATTCAAAATCCTTGTTCAAGTCCCGGTTACGTACAGCTAATGGTTGAAGTATATTGTGACATTCGGTAATAATCTCTAGATTCCTAGTTTGATCGCATAAAAATTTAATAGTTTCTAGCGCGTTTCCTACATTACTAATGTGGGGCCAAAGTGCGAGATATCTATCGGAATTAACGCTTTTTGTTGGGCGTTATTGATTTTAATGTACCTAAATAATCAAAGTAGATGCCCGCACTCGAAGTTATCGGTTGAATATAACCTTGATGCGATTGACCTCGAGTTGGAGTTCTGTAAATAATCACTATAATTAATACTAAACAAAGGTAAGTATTGATTTTTTACCTAACATTTTTAATAACTATATTTTGTATATTTAATAACTACTAACTATATATTGTATATTAACAATTTTCAGATGGCGAGACTACGCTTATAGGTAAGTATTTTTTCTTTTAAGACACTAGTCATTTTCCAACTTTATTTTATTTACAGGTTAGTTCTGACTTCCGATGCAGGTTTCACCTGATCGAAGTGATGCGTGACATGGCGTCGATTGATTAGCAAGGTAAGTGTATTATTATTATTTACCTTAACTATTTTATAGGGATTCTAGAGAGGGGAGAGTGCTTTCCGCAATCTGAAGTGGTTCTTTATGTAGACATACTCACCGACTTTATATTTAACTGGTCGAGTATGGGTATCGTAGTATGATTTTGAGGATTGTTTTGACTTCCTTATAAAATCTAAAGCCTTTTCTCTGGAATATTTCAGACGGTTTTGCAACATGCGGACATAATCACGGTATTGTAGCCTCTAGAGATTCATTATAAATGGAATTAGGAATAAATGGTATACTCCCGAACATAAGCTCGTGAGGTGTGTAATGTATAGTAGAATGAACGGATGTGTTATAAGCGAGCATCGCGATATATACATAACATTTGACTGTTCTTCATTAATGTAAGATTTCAAATATTCTTTTAGGGTTGAATGTTTGAGGATGATATGGTGAAGACCATAAGTTTTTTATTTTAAGAAAGTCGCAGGTTTTCCTAAATAGGTCTGAAGTAAAATTAGTCCCTTGGTCGGTAAGGATCATCTTAGGAATACCGAAGATTGATATATAATGCAGTAAGCATTTACTGGTTTCTTCAGCAGTAGTACTCCGGGTGTGATATGCACAGGAGAACTTAGTAAGATCGTCTTGTATTGAGAGAATAAAACGTAATTTTGCTGGTCCAGCTTCGGGAAGTGGACCGACGATATCCAAGGATATTCTTTGGCATGGTTCTGTAGATGTACTAGTAATCTGCATTGGAGCACGGTTGATTTTCCTAAGTGCTTTATTTTCCTGACATGATTTGCATTGTTTTACATATGCCTCTATGTCACTTCGCATACCTTTCCAGTAATACGATTGTTTTATTCTATTATACATTCTTACAGAACCTAAATGACCGGCTATCGGGATATTATGGTTATCGAAAAGAATTTTCTTAATTTCTGTCGGAGCTGGATATATAATATTATTATGGTATATATTAATTTTAATTCGAGTATCGTGAAAGGGATAGCATAGAATATTATATATTTTAATGAAGGAATATTTTTCGAATGGATTTTTCAGATCCGATATGCCGAATTCTTTAATTCCCTCGGAATTTACTAATTCATTTCTAATTGTCTTTAAAGTTTGAAAGATTTCTGGATAGGAGGCCTCGTCAAAATGATGTACTTTGGTGAACAATAAATAATAGCATTTATTATTTGTTTCTTCTCTTTCATCTCTTTTCATCTTTTTAAAGGAAAAGAGTTCCTTCTCGGACTCATGTGTTTCGGCAATGATTTCAGGGTCGGTTAATATTTCCTGAATGTATGGGTTAGACTCATCCAAATCGATGGATGTGGGGACCAGGATTAACATTGCGGGACACTTCATAAGAGTTTCCTTATGCTCTACCACTTCTGTGTTAAAGGTCCTATCTGGGTGTTATTCATAATAATTGTACGTTACGGATATGAAAAAAGATATGAAAATAAATTTAATGTAACAGAAATGATAACATATAGGAATTGTAAAGACTAGTACATAACATGCATAAATTTAAATATAAGTATTATTTAAAAGATGGTCATTCATTTTATCCAGGAGATTAATAAAAAGCTGTTTTGATTATCAGTAATTTTAATAGAAGTAAACAGACAAAAAGATCATTTATGCATAGATAATTGAAGGTTGTATATTATATTATTATATCAAAATAATAACTATTTTTAAAATTACTTTCCTATACAATAAATTGATGTTAATTTGCAGAAAACGTGATTATGATTTATGATTGTAAGAAAAAGTAATTTAATACTTTTAAAATTGCTTTATTACAATTAATTTAGGAAAGTAATTTTGAGTAATCACTTGATATGGAGTGGCAAAAAATAATTAATATCCCGGTTTGAAACTTTATGGTGACATTAATCAATAACAACAATATAGGAACATAACACCCTTCTTTGAAACATAAAAGTTAACTTAAACGACATCGTAATGCGATTTTGTATTTTTATTAAAATATTGCGTTAAAAAGTGATGCATACAATATGCTATACAATAGTTTAGAATAAGTATTCTAAACTTTTGTATAGCCTCGAAATATATAAGAAATTTCCATAGTCGTGGCATGAAATACAACACCACAAAATTAGCATAATTATTATTTATTTTGTTGTGTACAAAAATGTGTATTAGAAACTATCTTCACTATCATCAGATAAATGAAAAAAGAAAT